ACCCCCCCCCACGAAGTTTGTCTATTTTTCGATACGATAAGTATGTGTCCAGTAAGGTGTCAAATCCATTCTCTTTGTTGTAGTTCAGTTTTTGTAAGAGCTTTACAGTACATGTACTTGCAACACGATTAGATCATGTGAGTGCCGAAGTTTAGAAGTATTAATTTCTGGACAATATTAATATAATACTAAGAAAATAAGGAGGAGAGATGAGGGCGGTAGATGTTTGATAGGGAAAAAAAAGGAGCGAACCTCCCCAGAACACCCTCCAACCACCCAAAATTCATTCTCACACAAAACGAGCTAGCATTATATTATTGTTTTTTTTCACAGCACTGAGAATCATTAATTTTTTAAATTAAAAACCCTGTGTAGTGTTAGATATAATATTTATTCACTTCACTCATCGAGGGTTACAAGTGGTGACCAACTACTGCGCACGTAAAAGTAAAATCTTCCAAAACACAGCTCCCCCCCTTCCGCATGGTGGTATATTGGCAGGCCAGATTTACTCACATCGCAGGCCGAATTTGGCCCGCGGGCCTTAGTTTGGTGACCCCTGTCCTGTAGCAAGACATTGAACAGCAACTCTAATGGCTATGTCGTCTTCCAATAGATAATGAATGGCTCTCGGCATTACTGATTTTTAAAAAAAAAGAACATTGAAAAAGTTTCATCAAGTGGCATTTTCTGTCTTTTGCTCATCTTATACCCACGCACTACATGATGTCCATTTCAAAGGAATGGAAGCGAAAGCTGTTGATAAATCCATTCGTTTTTCGAAGAACCTTTAATCCGTTTTGTTGAAGAAAATGGCGACTTGAATACATTTCTACACGTGTGTTTGGTTTTGTTGTTGTCAATCACAAATTTTAAGCCCTATTTACGGTTTGTGACGTCCCTCATAATAATATTATCAGATGAGCCTCTACCCTTTTAGTTTTTGTAAAGCGTTTTACGGCGCTCGCAACTGCATAGGTCATATGAGCGCGCGGGACACACCTAATATTTTCAGTTGGTAGGAAATTTTGAATTTTGCCCGGGTGGCGGCCGAAGCCTACTCTTATCGATTTTAGACCACCAAGGGATCTTTAACGTGCGCAACTTGCACAC